TCTTTCATAGTTGTGGCGAAAAAATTTAATTATTGATGGTAAAAATATTTCATATATTTCATTTCCGACTTCTTATAAAGCAGGTTTAGACAAGACCAGAACCCAAAAACATTTTTGATGTAGAGGCCCATCCAAAACATCAAATAACAACGGATCCTTACCTTCTGGATTACTTCACACACATACCAAGGAGGATCCATTTTGTTTAACCAAATGTCCAGTTTTACCACTTGCATGAACAGAGAATGAAAACAGAATATGCAGAGTAATTGACAAGTATCTATTCACAGCCAAGCAAAAGGCAGCAGTCTAGTAAGAACAATACTTTATAAGAGCAAAGTATACAGCGTGTCTCAAATAATCTTTCATCATCTTTAAAAGCACCAGGTAGAAAATGCCAATATACAGCAGAACTAACGCATGGGCACCCTTGCTTACTGAATGTTGGTGGGAGCAATGTATGAAGAGGCATCAGTTAATCAACAATATAGACTTCATCTCAATGTACTAATCATTTCTCAATTTACACTACAGTGACAGAGAACCTTATTGAGCCCCACTCTTCAGAACTTAATTACATGGGATAGGATTTCCATGTAAGCACACTCCATAACACAAGACATCGTCATATGAAAAGCATCAATGAAAGTGTCTTAATATGGAATATCATGATATATTACTTACATATACTCCAGAAAACACACTCATGCAAGGAATCAAACTAGAGACACAAAAATTGATGTCCTCAATTTATATAGAAAAGGTAGGATTTCAATGCAAGAACCTATAAGTGCTCCGAACAATGTAGGGACATTTTTGCAGAGTCCAGATGCATAAAAGATGACAAAAAAAAAAGATTCAGATTTTAGAGAATCTATACTTCGCCAGCGGCTACAGTGATAACATGCGGAATAAACCCTTGTCCAGTATTTCCTCCTGCATTAAGAAAGAGGATATTAAAGCAGCAGCATGATATTGTAAATTATGACAAGTGCCGGATACCAAAATATATAAAAATAACTTAAAAATCTTGTGGCTCTAAAGAAAAAAAGAAGAAGATATACTGTAATGGAAAAGATACTGAAATTTTATTGATTGTGCGTTGAGTTGAACAAGGTGCATTCTAATTTTCTTGGAAAAAAAGTGAAAGATATTCCACAGAAAAGAGAGAAATTGTGGATGCGAACATTATTTTGTTAAAGAGGCACAAAAAAATACCTCAACTCCTGCAGAAGTAATTTACATGATTTGTCGATTATTCTTCTACAGGACTATCTATAAAAGCCCTGCTCACTACTACTGGGCCAAAACAAAACCTCAAAATCATTACAATATCTCGCTTTTGAAATGTCGAAAAACTGATGATAATTGCTTGACAATCTCATATGCACACAATCCTGAACCATCATTGATCAGTGAACTTCCTCATTAGGAAACCCGACCTACTTGGCTAAACATATAGCTATACAAAACTAAAATAGTGCCCGAAAACATATGATAGACAGCCATAGATGATCTCGATGTTTAAGCTGAGTGTAAAAGTTTCAGTTTTGCAGCTCTTCTGTGAACTTTCTCTACAGGTACATTAAGCCACCGAGTCCCCTTCCGAGAGAAATTTATGGAAAGATACAACGAACAAAAGAGCTACAATTCCACAATGCAGAAACAAAGTCGAGGCGAAAATAGTATGCAGTATGCACTCCATTGACGAATAATTCTACCAGAACATGAGCTGATAAACCTAAGAACTTCACACAAAATCGCCACAACGAAGGTCGTGCGCGTGAGCGTGCCAGAGAGCGGAATTTCGCGGACCGAATCAAGCAACGATCGCAAATTCGACGAATTCGCGACAGAATTGTCCACGGGAAATGCAGCAGGATCGAACGTACCGAGAGCAAGCGACTGCGACTTCTTCGAAGAGCCGGAGTACGGACCGGGCGAAGAAGAGGGGGACGAGGAAGAGCCGACCAACCCCCCGCGCTCCTTCCTCTCCTTGTACGAGGAGGAGGAGGAGGACCCCGCCGCCTTCTTCGCGGCCAGCGCCTGCTCCGGCGTCCCGTACTTCCGCGGCCTCCCCCGCTTCCGCTTCGCCGGGCCGAGCGGCGGCGACGCGGCGGCCGAGGGCGCCGAGTGGGGGTACAGCGGCTCCACCGTCGGGGCCGGAGGCCCCGGGGGAGGAGGCCGTTGGTCGGCGACTGGGCGGCGGCGGCGGCGGCGGCGGCGGCGGCGGAGGACTGGTGGTGGTGGTAGAACGAGGCGAGCTGATTGTCGTTGGCCTCCATATTGAGGCGAGAGCGAGAGAGAGAGAGAGAGAGACTGTGCGTGTGCGAATTGGAGGAAATTTCTTTTTTTTAAATTTGTTTTTGCGAAAAATATCTGGAGGAAATCGGTATTCTCGAGTTTTGTTTCGGATTGGTGAGCTTCAGGCCGTTGGATTTGGGCTGAGCTGGCATTTACGGTTTCGATTCTCCAGTTTTTTACGTTTTTTTTTTTAATTTCGTTCGTTCGCCATAATTCCAATTGGATAATGACTCGACGGGTCAGATGATCGGGCGCCGGGTTTTCGGGTCGGATCGCTAACGCATGAAAAGGAATCCAATTGCTGTTGGGACTAGGGGGCTTTGGAACCGGGAACCGGACCGAATCGGTCACTTTTTTTTTTTCCCACTACTTGATATCATATATTTTGAAATTAGAATTGTATTTCCCATGCTGACTATACATATGTTCTAAAATTGAAATTGTATTTCCCATACCGTCTATACATAATCACAAAAAAATAATATATGTAGCCGGTCCGATCCGGTCAGTCCGATTTGGTCCGGTTCCCTTTGGAACCGGGAACCGGACCGCCCGAACACCGATTCCACTTTTAGGAATCGGGAACCGGAATGACACACGCGGGAACCGGACCAAACCGACCGAAACGGTTTAATCCAGGTGGTTCCCAGTTTGGGTGGGCCGTTTCGCATACTCGTAGTTGGGATGCGTTTGGTTGTCCAGATAGGATAAAGATATGATTAGATTTTAAATTTCCTATCTAATGTTTGATAATGTTTGGATAAAACATGGATTCAAATCAAATTTATCCAAACGAGTGTTTGGCATCCATCGGCAAAACTGGGGAAAAGTGTAAAAAAAAGTCCTAAACCTTTTGCATTAGTGTCAATTTAGTCCTAAACCTTTTTTTAGTGCAAATTCAGTCTTAAACCTTTTGCATTGGTGCCAATTGAGTCCTAAACCTTTTCTTGGTGCCAATTCAATCCTAAACATTTTGCATTGATGCCAATTCAGTCATAAACCTTTTGCATTTGTGCTAATTTAGTCTTAAACTTTTTGCATTAGTATCAATTCAGTCCTTCGATACGTGAATAGCTATTAGCCGGAAAAATTGAATTGGCACAAATGCAAAAGGTTTAGGACTGAATTGGCACAAATGCAAAAGGTTTAGGACTGAATTGACACTAATGCAAAAGATTTAGGACTGAATTGGCACCAAAAAAAGGTTTAAGACTAAATTGGCACCAATGCAAAAGGTTTGAGACTTTTTTGACACTTTTCTTGGCAAAATTGGATTGGACATTGAAAGAGATTTCCGAGCATGGATTCACGACCTCACTACCTAGGTCCGGCACAACCACCTCCGCTGCTTCGGCCCATATTTGTGTCATGGCCATGCCCGGTCCCGCACACCTCTTTCTTTACATCGTCCTTCTGCATTGTGCCCTCATCCATCCACTCGGCCTTGTTGTTGCCGCCGTCAAGAGGGCAAGGTGGCGAGAGACAAGCCCTAGATCTGGGGCTTAGATCGAGCACGAACCTTACATTTCGACTTATCTGTGCTCAATCCTTGCCCTTAGGTCCACCTCAACTTGTTAGTGATCGAGATCGATCGAAGATGAGGCCGGGGCTATGCGTAACGGCTGGAAGCAGCGATCTGAGGTGATTCCGGTAGATAGGTCAATTAAGAAGAGGAGATCTAGCACCTCCAAGTGAAGAGTTGACGGAGCAAGATCAAAGTCTCTCACATACTCTGAAACTTCGAAATGGAATAGAGCAAGAGCATGTCGAAGTAGAAGAGGAGAGTGATCAAGGAAAGAGAGCGACACCGTGGCCCTGAGTTCTAAAGCTTCGAAATTTTTACTTTTTTAAACATTTTCCTAGATATTATATATCCTATCTGAGTCTATCACATCTCCTAATTGAGATTTTTTTTATCCAGACTATATCTAGAATTTGTAATTCGTCAAACACTAGATAAGATAAAAGTTATACTATGCGGACTTTTATCCAAACTACCAAATATAGCCTTATAGATTTTGTGTATCCGAGCATCTAAATGGGTATCGACTATGTTCAGTTTTGAGGGAATGCCTTCTATCTAGTTGTCCAGTTCTAACTATCGGGTGTGACGAAAGGTTGCTTCACAAATAATTTGGTCGTACACACAAAAATCTCAACATCCTTATTCGTCTGCCGACCAAAGTGGAAAATCCTTAAAAAATTGCAGAACCCAACGTAGAATATCCATGAAATTATCTCACACATGTGACCTTCTATGTTACCAGTCGGCACTAACCAACAATTTCCATCACGAAACGCGAATTATAAGAGCTCAAATCGTGGTTGTGGCACGTTTCGAGGACTAGAATCGTAATAGGAACAAAGCAGACGGACCAAAAGCGAACTCTCCTAAAACCACAAGTACCCAAAGTGCAAAAGAGTTCCCCAGGAAACTCGTATGAAACAAGGAACGTGCAACATGACCTTCGGAAACCGCAAACGAATAGAAAATGAAGGAAGAAAACTGAAGGGTCGCATTTGATTGGCCACCCCTGTCCTCTTCGTTCGAAACTTTTCGGAATTTCCTAGATCCCGCTGGCGAGTGGTGACACCTGGATCGATCCGATTGGGCGTTGCCGCCGAGCGACAGTTGTTTCGGTTATGTAGAGGGAAATCCTCGGATTTCAAAACGCCCCCACGACCCCACTTGTCTTCCCCTATGTCTCTGCACTCCGGTAGCCTCTCTGTTCTCTCTGTTCTCTCTCTCTGTTTTGATGATGTTCTGTTCTGACTTCATAGTCCACGATGTGTTGTTTCAGGGGAATTTTGTTGTTCGCCATGGAAGATCGCCTGGACAGGCAGAGCGACAAGGCCACGCTGATGGGACAAGGTCAGAGATGCAATTCATGCATCGGTTACAGCGCAACTTTTTTGTCACTTTTTTGTGTTTTTATGGATGTCGCTTTTCATGATCTGTGTGGACACTATCCTTTGATTCTGTTCTCTCTCTCTTTTTTTATCATTCTGCAGATGAGCAGCATGGCCGTGGAAATGAAAAGAGGGTGCAGATTCTCACGGATGATGGGGATTTCTCCCTGCTGGAACCGGCGTCCAAGGGATTCTCCCAGCGGCCCTTCGACAGACCTCTCCCGTGCTGCGGTTGCGGCGTCGGGTGGTTCTCGTAAGTTCGTAGGATTCTATGTCGGCCAATTTTTTGCGGCGCCCATTTACCGAACATTGGCAAGACCGTAAACAATAGGTCTTGGGACTAGTGGTCTCCGAACTAGACGTGATTATGGGATCTGCAGTCCACCGTGCCTTCTCCTCACACCCCATTGGGCCCGAAGGGCAAAACGGATGGGGCTGAGGAAGCAATTCCCTTCTTAGGCTTGGTCTGCCCCAGGCGTGCCTTAGGCTTGGTCGGCTCGATATCTAGAATTCATTATTTTTTAATCATGGGTGAGCCTGAGCAAGAAGTTTAAGGCTTAGACAGGTCGGCTTAAGCCAATCAATTGATCTGGCATACTTCGAGTATGACTAGAACTATCTTGCTGTCACATTTAAGTAGGGGTAACTAGTTCCTGGGTTGGATTCCACCATTAGAATCGGGAATCGGACCGGTTGGTCCTGATCCGGTTCCCGGGTTGGATCAGTTTGGTTTAGGGTTTTTGCAATTTCCTTTTCTTAAAGAACAATAAATTTTAAAGAAAATATCGGTTTGGGCAGTTCGGTTCCGCACCTAGAACAGGGAATTGGCTCTTTCGATCCGGTCTGGCTCGGTTTCTAAGTCGGTTCGGTTCTTGTGCACACCCCTACTTATTAAGTCATAAGATCCAAATAGGAGGAGGAACATCTTGATATATAAAAATTGGTAGGATGATAGATAATTGATTACACATGCGGAAGAGTAGCAATGAAGTGCTACTCTCACCTTTACCTACTCTTTACTTTTCATAATCTACTTCAGCTTTCACGATACGATACAAGACGACTATGATGCATTGTATGAGAATACAACTTGACCTTTACACATTGCCTTCACGTGCTCACCTTAATTGTATTTGAAAAAACTTATGATACAACTTTATAAATCATTGAAAAAAGTTGCTGAAATTATTATATGAACAGGTATTCTTATCTGTGACAGGTTTCTCCTGGGGTTTGTGTTTCCTCCATTCTGGTACTATGCTACGGTTCTGTACTTTGGCAATTACCATCTCAAAGACCCGAGGGAAAGAGCTGGACTTGCGGCATCTGCAATTGCAGTAAGGAAGCAAAACCCAAAGTTCTGCATTTTGTTCTCGTTTTAAGTTTGCTGCTACAGCACATGATGCTTCTCGGAAATGCGATTGATTCTTCATGGATGTGCAGGCTTTGATCTCGACCGTGGCTATCCTGATTTCTCTGCTCGCGGTGTTCTTTCCGCGCACTTTTCAGCGACATTGATCATCATAAGTATGCAAGAAACAGAAGCATGGAGATGTCCTCGTTAGCGACTCTGTGCCGTTTTGACTATTGCTATACTAGGCTGTAACCCCAAAAGCTAAAAGCTGCCTCTTTCTATCTCTCTCTCTCGTTCTTCACACGTGCGCTCACCCATCCACCTGGACGCACACAATCCATCGACTTGCAGGTTGTCGAGAGTCTATGAGAATTGGAAATTTTGATGTATCACTTATCTTTTCTTAGCAATGTAAGGACTCGAACTGTTTATATGGTTGCAGTTCCGACCGACAAAGGTTGGTTTGAAGCCTCGATTGGCTCAATGTATTTTGGTTCTCATTTACGATATGCTATCCTTATGAAGATACAGACGAAACAGAATGAGTAGAAGCTCATTCTTTCTCTGTTCTGTTCTCCTGAATGTTCGAATGCAGAAATGACAATCAACGGCAACAGGAACCATGCTCGTAAGAATCTTAATATATTCTAAACCTCCAAAACGGTCAAGCTCATCCAAGCAGTATAATTATAGACAGAAACAGACTGCGTGAGTGATTGTGGTGTCATAGACAAGAAATGAAGAATGCACTCAGATAGGCAGCGAAACATCCGAATTCTGAGAGAGGACGTGCTTTGCACAAATGAAGACGTGATTTTCACAAATGAACAAATGTATAGATGGAGATTATAATGCTCACATAGACAATGAAGTGATGCATTTGCGGCTTCATTTCTGTTGCTTGTCTTTTTACCGCGGACGATGCCTCAATGAAACTCAGTCTAATCACATGACCAGTCATTTGAACCCTCGCCATCACTGGTTTCCTTGGTGGGAGCTGTGTTATGTGGATTCTTTAGTTCGTCAAACTGCAAGAACATTAAGTAAAACCATCAAACTGTATTCATAACAAAACAGATAAACATGACAAAACAAAGTGCATGAAGGGAGACCAACAATTTTAAGTAATGTCACACCACAAAGGCATCACCATTAGCAGTATAACACAATCTGTGATGACAGATCAACTAGTACTTTCTTACATACCACTGAAAAAGGAAACAAGTGGCACAGAACCTCGGTTTTCTCACTTATCGATTGTGGATTAAATGTCTACAATCAGATCGTCGGATGAAATTTCTCCATGTGCTGCTAACAAAAAATAAAATATCGATAGCGAAAAGATATTTTCCTCATTCCCCTTGGCCTATTGTTCAATAAATGGAGGTAGCTATCTTTGGTTTCTGTCGCACTCTATCGTATTTATCATGCACAGACACAGCAGCAATCTAAGCCAACTAAATTAATTGTCATTTTTTGAATTCTCCCCAATGAAAGCACTAACAATCATCTCGTGACAGAGGCAAGAGAAACCCCCAATCATCTTCCTAGTAAAACTTATCAAAGTGAAGATCAAGGATAAGTCTGTGCACGTATTTATGTTACTTAGCAACCAGAACCTGAGCCGCATAGTGCATAGAACTGAGATTCAGATTCATTCACAGCAGCAATGGCCTTTAAAATCTTGCTTCTCTGGTTGAAAATAAGCACTGGAATCCACATATTGGAGGACTTATTGCCAACTCGCCAATAGATGACCAAAGGCAAACTGACTCTATAACCCAGTAAGAAAAGGTGCATGAAATTTCAAGTTTTCCTCACTTTGTCCAGATATCTCCCTTACAATTTCACAGACTCTAGTCTCCATTAGTTCTTAAAATTCTCAGGATCATAAACTCATTTTCCTTCTTCTCCATAGATTCTCATGTCAGTTACGAAACCCACAACAATGTCTTATGTCTTACTAAGATCCCAGCTCCAGAAGTCCCTGGAACCCGGATAATGGAATATGAAATTCTCAAAATCAAAGGACAAATTACCTTGACTTCCCTCAAGTTATTGCCAAATTGCAATGACAACACTTGCATTTTGAGTAGTCATCTCAACATCTTCTGTTGGAAGCATTTGGATTGACTAGTTCAAATCTACACTAGAGAGGAGAGCATATTTTTTTTGTCCAAGTAAAACAAATAAAAAAAGAAACTAAAAGAAACCGATGGATGATTGATCTGCATCACCAATTCAACCTTAAATGGGTTAGAAAATGGATACTAAAGCCACCTCCATAGTTTACTAGTTAAGTGGATCAAACAGTTTCTGATAGGGGTTTCACAATAATTTGTCAAAACATACGGGATTTCTCTGCAATTTGGCCAAGAGCGGAGGACTGCCAGATTAATTAATTCCCAAAATTAGTCACTCATTTACTGAGAGCAACGCTTTCAATAAAGTAGCTCCCAAATGCAATCTATATCATGAGATCCTCAATGAACAAAAGCAGATCAACTATGCTTGAGCTAACGGCACCGTAATTTGCCTCCAGAAAGAAAATTCATAAGCTAATTAGTCTTAAATTCTTAATACATAACAAAGATAGTTGTTTCGATTGCAGGTTTCACCTTCTTGCAAGTTTCTTGGTGAGCAGCCAAAAGCTCATTGTACTTCATCCGGAGATCTGACAATTCAGCTTGTAACTTCTCGTACTCGGACACAGTCGGACCCCCCAACTTTTCCTGGATGAACCTGTTGCAGTCATCATCAATAAACATGCCGTAAGCAAAGAAACTCCATGAAACATTCGATCCTTCCCCGATCGACTCACAGACAATAGTACATTCATCTAGTTGGCTATCATTTAGCAGAGACGTAATCATCAATACGCAAGGCGTGCGATAAAGGACTGATACACGACTAGGATTCCTATATTCAGGAACCAAACGAAGCGAACTTCCATATTTGCAAAGGGTGATTCATAACTTTCCTCCATATAATGGACCTTCAAATGATTTATGCAAATGCTGAAATACCAACAGAGTAAAGAACTGAGGATCAACACAAGCACCCAAAAACAAACTGAAAATTACCAAAAAGAAAAACTTACTCAATTGCAGAAGAGGGCTTGTCGTTTTGCTCGTACAAGGAAACCAAAACTGCATCATTGTTTCACACATTGCAACACAACATTAATCGAACACATCGAAGGATCAAATTTTCCTTTAAAACTCCGAGTAGCGAAAAAAGGGATTCAAAGAAAAGGCTCGAAACCTTTGGTGAGCGAATCGACGACTCCGCTCGATTCCAAGTACTTCCTAAACGCTTCCTTCTTGGCTTCTTTTTCCTGAAACATGACAAATGCAGGCTCAAAGATCGAGTCTTTGAATCAAGAAATGCAAGGAAACTGCAGATGGGTGTGCTTCCGATCAGTGGGTGCAGATTGGCCCAGGAAAGAAAAGGGAATATAGAGGGTGCAGAGATGGAGAAGGAGACAGAAGCTGACCCACCTCTCTGTATCGCATCATTTCCTTGTGGATCTCTCCTCTCGCTCTCTCTCTCTCGCTCTCGCTCTCGGTTTGGTCGAGATCAACTGAAGTGTACTTTCCTTTGAGTAAGACCCCCGTAGTAACTATCGTGTTTGTTTGTTTTTCTATTTTTCTGTTCCTAACGACAAATTTGGAATAGAAATCCGTTTCATAATGTAATTTTATTTAATTTTATTTAATTTTTTTATTTTTAGAACACACATAAGAAATAAAAACTCTTCTCATCACTTGCCCTCACTACTAACTAGCCGCCCACCCGCTACTCCACCCTCGTCGCCGGTCGCCTCCCACCGCCGTCGACCATTGTTCTCCGTCACTTGTCGGCCGTCGTTCATCGCCGTCCACTGTCATCCTCCACCACTGGCCTCCTCCCGTTGTCATCTCCTACCGTCGACCTTCCTCTGCTGCCCAATGCCGGTCGCCTCCCATCGTCGACCGCCGCTGGTCACCTCTGGTAGTCCTTTGTCGCCACCCAACCCCGACCACCTCTCGCTGCCGCCACCCGCCTCCTGTCGCCGCCCAACATCACTCACCTCCCGCTGCCGCCCAACATCGCTCACCTCCCGCCGCTTCCCACCCGCCGGCCGCCTCCCATCGCCATCCTCTGCCACCGGCCACCTCCCATCACTGTCCTCCACTGCTTGCTGCCTCTCGTTGTTGTCCTTCGCTGCCGGCTGCCGTCCTCCTCCGCCGCCCAATGCCGACCACCTCTCATCGCCACCCGCCTCCCGCCGCCTATCGCTCGCCGACCGCTCAGGAGGGGAAAATTTTGTGTTGTTATCAAACAAATTTCTACTTCAAAAATAGAAATTTTGTGTCGTTGTCAAATGCATATTTTGCCTCAGAAACTCGTCCATGGAATAAAAATATAAAAATCTATTTCTGGTCAAAAATTGATTTCTGAAACAAAATAGTTATCATTCGCGCCCTAAATATTCACTATCGTATCATTTCTTTCCAAATTTGATTCTATTTTCGTTTTAGAATACATGGATTTCTTTATCTGGTAACATATTCTCTAATAAGGATGGAGTTTAGGGATTACAAATCAATGAAGAAATATCTATTGAAGGAATGTGAGGCATAGGGCAAAATTGTTTCAAATGTCTCGCCATGTGGCATGCATAGAGGCAAAGCGAAGTGCCATGTGGGGAGCACAGAATTTTACATTCTCTCAATTGTCATATATCAGTACTTTTACGTGTTATTTTTATCTGTTTTAGCATATAACAGTTGACACTTATGATCTCGAGGATACTGTTATGTTTTGTGTAGGTGTTGGAAATCAATGCAAAAGAAAACTTTTCGTAAGTTAAACATACAAAAAATGGAAAATTCTTAAATCCAAACATACAAAAGGCAACATGAAAGTTTATATAATTAAAACTTAGTTAAAAATGGATGTATGATAGATAAATTAGGAGAGAAGACTTTGAAAAGTATCAGCATGTTTAGAAATTTAACGCTTTTTTTTAAAAAAATTGCTATATTTTTATAATGCAAGTATAATTATTCCAATTACAAGTTAAAACTCAAGACTATCTTTCTTTATCCTTAATTGATGATAAATTGATAAAATATACATAGAGAGGGTTCTTATGAGTTGATGCACCATGCTGGGATCTTGCCGGAATCATTCTTGAGGAGACGACTCTTCTCTTCCTCTGCAGGTCAAAGTATCTGCTGTAATTTGTGACTGTAACTATAAGTAGCCAGCTGGTAGGTCTGAAGAGCTGGTTTGCATCCAAGCTGTAGTGTGTGGTGTGTTTTTTCCTTGTTCCTCAGCTGCAGACAAAGTTGTATGCACACCTTCTTCAAATGGTTGCCTTAACTCTTTTGTTGCTTGGGAAATTGTCAGAAACAAGAATGCTAATGTTGACTGGCACAAACTTGTGTGGTTCTCCCCCAATGTGCCAAGATCTAGCTTTACTTTTTGGCTAGTAATAAGTGATAACTCCCCACTTTTGAGAGGATAAACAGTAGGTTTGTTGTGAGCACTAGATCTCTCTGCTTGTTTTGTAATCTAAGCATTGAATCTCACCGTCATCTAATTCTCGATGTTTAATACAATCAAAATCATCGAGTTCTCTGTTAAGCGTAATTTCAAGAGTCGTCTTGGTCATAGAAATGAGATTGGCACTGATAAGCATGGTAGGTTATGTCTGGCTTCGAATGGAACTTTGTGAAAACTATCCAGCTGGAGTGGGCTTGTTTAAGGTCGTGCTTATTGTTGCCTTTTGGTTTGGAGAGTTGCATGTTTTGCTCTATGTCATTTCTATGGTTGTGATGGCAGACAGATATCAACTTCAACCTTCTTCGTTTCGGGTCCAATTTTTATGAGATCCAATTGCTCTATGTAATCTTGTAGGATACATATTAAATTGAATTCGAGTTGTCAGACGTGGTGAGATCCATGTGAGGCCAATCTTCTCCAATGGTTCAAATTCAGTTCTATTTATAGTAGGGCGGTGCAATAATTCAACATTGGACCAATCAAATTACAGGGATTGTTGTCTCAAACCATCTGGGCACTCTTGTTTAATCCTCCGAGATCGGAGCACCACAATACAACATCCGCCACAGCGTGACCTTTCGAAGTCAGCCAAACTGAATGGCTAATCGACGTGATGAGAAACCTGAGACAGATTGCGAGTAGTCGGAATACCAGATTCTGGCTCCATGAACGGAGTGGTCAAGCCGGAGAAGCTCTCTCTCTCTTTCTCTCAGGAGTGAAGCTGTATTACCGGTGTGTTTTATCAACCCTCGAATTATAATTCCAGTTTATATCACGCGAATTGTGCTGTTATTTTTGTTGTTTCTTTATACTGCGGAACGATGACAATCATCTCAGGTTTCAAGGTCTTAGATGAGTCGGAGGCTCACGCAGGTGACAAGGTGCGAGAGGGCAGAGCAGAGCATCAATGGCTAACTCCGCAATCACTTCCAGGTCCTTTTCCAAGGTTGCCGGCGAGAAGGATGGCCTCGGGGACAAAAGGGTTAAACCCTCCGAGCTGGGATTTTTGGAACTCCATACTGGTCTCTAAACAACAGGTAAAACAACGAAAAAATCTCATATCTATTTCAAAACGCTAAATGGATCCACAATCATGTCGATAGAATATCAAATTTATCACAAGAGCCCCATTGATATCGACCCGCTTAAGTGGGGCATGCTCCTTATCAAGGGCGCGTTTCTCTGCCGGCCACAAAGAGCATTCACTTGACCCTAAAAGGCATGCATTTGAGACCAATGAACTATCTATGATATGTTTCTTTTGGATTTAGCAGCTAAATGGTGTCTCAACCAGCTTTCACATATTCCGATTAGTCCACCTCCTCGGTGGCCATCTTAAGAGTGTACTACCCCACACCGGTCATTTTTTTATGATACTTATTTCAGCAAAAACTGCAATATAGGGATCTGACTATTTCATTACAGCTAATAAATCCATTTTCAGACATTATAATAACAGGGTATGAATAATCAAATATTAAACTCTACCTCCTTTGAATGGCTGTATGGCATGTGGAAGTTAGGTGGCTCCTCTCTTCCTGGGATCGAACTATAAGCACTTTTATTTGACCCAGCGGACCAAGCAAAACGAAGAAGCTTCACTATGAATATAATCATTGTTGCTTAAAGTCTTTGTATTACATCATCATTTGATGCTTTTGTCCTGGAAGCACGAACTTTTGCTTCCTCTCCTCAGCACACTTTGTTTCAACCATCAGGGATCTCTTGTTTAATCCTCTGCTGCTGCCGAACCAAGCCATGCCCATCGCAGAGCTCTTTCTTGGCGCCTTTCTTCAGGTGCTGTTCGAGAGGTTGGCCTCTCGTGAGCTGCTCAACTTTGCGTGGCGTGAGGGGATCGATAAGGTGCTGAAGAAATGGGAGAAGTTGCTGATCAGTATCAATCAGGTGCTTGATGATGCAGAGGACAGGCAACTCACCGGCGATCTCGGGGTGAAGTTGTGGCTCGAAGATCTCAGGAACTTGGCCTACGAGATCGAAGACTTGCTCGATGAGTTCGCCACAGAATCCGTGGAAAACAAGTCCAAGGTAGAATCCGACACTAGCAAGGTGCGATTCCTTCTTCCCCATTGTTGCTTCAGAATAAGCCCGAGAGCATTTATGTTCAACCACAAAATAAGATCCAAGGTAGAAGAGATGGATGGCAGATTACAGGAGCTCATAATCCGGAAAGATAGTCTAAGCTTGAGAGAGAATAACGGGAAGCGATCGGCATACAGCCAACTAGATAAGCCACTTCCCACTACGTATTTACCCGAGCCTTGTTTCGTTAGTAGGGAGATTGAAAAAATGGAGATTCTCAAATTATTGACCGGAGAAGATGCGGATCTAAAAGTGATTCCCATCGTAGGGATGGCGGGTGTTGGGAAGACGGCTCTGGCTCAGCAAATCTACAATGATGCTAGGGTCACTGGACATTTCGATGTGAAAGCATGGGCTTGTGTTTCCGATGATTTTGACGTGCTTGCTATTACAAAGAGTATCCTAGAGACAACCCATGTCCATTTGTCTTGTGAAGGTAAGGACCTGAATTGGCTTCAAGATAAGCTCAAGGAAAACCTTTCAGGGAAGAAGTTTCTTGTCGTGTTGGATGATGTTTGGAACGAGAAATATGGAAACTGGACTATCCTCTTGAAGCCTTTTCAATCGGGAGCGAAGGGAAGCAAGATCATCCTCACGACTCGTAACCTCCATGTTGCTTCAATAGCCGGTGCTCCAGCGAAAACTCTCAAAGAGTTATCACTAGATGCTTGTATGACTTTGTTTGCATTTCATGCTCTAGGAGTCAAAAATTTTGATCATCATCCTGATCTTGAAGTATTAGGTCGAAAAATAATGGAAAAATGCAAAGGGTTGCCATTAGCTGTGAAGACATTGGCCGGGCTGCTACGCACTGAAGTCTATTCCCACAAATGGGAAGCTACGTTGAATAGCAAAATTTGGGACCTACCAGATGAAAGAAATGAGATCCTTCCGGCTTTGAAACTCAGTTATCTCCATCTCCCTTCCAATTTGAGGAGATGTTTTGCTTACTGTGCTATATTTCCTAAGGACTATGAAATTGAACGGGACGAGTTGATTCGCTGGTGGATTGCAGAGGGCTTGGTGAAGGGAAAAAAAGGAAAGAACTGTTGGAATACAGGTTTGAATTATTTCAACGAGCTAGTAGCTAGATCGTTTTTTCATAAGTCGAGTGGCGATGGATCACGATTCTTGATGCATGATCTTGTGAATGACTTGGCAAAGCTAGTTGCAGGTGCAACCTGCTTTAGCCTAGGGGAGTTTGAGTTCGAGGGTGATCAAAACAATGCATCTTTAGCTCGCCATGCCTCATTCATTTCCAGCAATCACATTTTGCCAGAAAGATTCAAGATATATCATGGAATGAAGGGAATTAGGAGTTTCATATCTTTAGTGAAGCAATCTAGGCATTATTATAGATCCTTTTTGTCCCAGACTGTGCTATGCGATTTGTTGTCGGGATTGAAGTACTTGAGGGTGCTTTCATTAAGTCACTATGGCATCAGTGAGGTACCGGATTGCATTGGTAAACTAAGGCACCTAAGGTATCTTAATCTGTCGTATACTGATATTGAAACACTTCCAAAGTCAATTGTTGCATTGTACAATCTAGAGGCTTTGATTTTGCAGGGCTGTCACAGCCTTATCAAATTACCTGAAGATATGGAGAAACTAATCAATCTAATATTTCTCGACATTACCGACACTTGGAGCCTAAGAGTGATGTCGCTATATATAGGTAATTTAGTGGGTCTTGAGATGTTGTCCATGTTTGCAGTGGGAACGGAAAATAGGTTGAGGTTGAAGGAGTTAAAAAACCTGAAGAACCTTAAAGGGGAATTGTGCATCTCTGATTTGCATAAGGTTCCAGAAGCTGGGGATGCCAAGGATGCCAATTTATGCACAAAGGAGGGGCTACGCCAGTTGACAATGAGATGGGATGAAGATTTTGAAAATTTTCGAAATGAAGAGCTTGAAGCAGGGGTCATTGACTTTCTTCGCCCTCATCGAAACCTTGAAAATCTTGCGATATCCTACTATGGTGGCCTAGAATTTCCGTCATGGCTAGGAAGCCCCTCACATTTTAACATAGTGCATTTATGTTTACACGGGTGCCGTAGGGCCAAAGCATTACCATCACTTGGGCAACTATCTTCGTTGAAAGAACTATACATTGAAGGTCTAAATGCAATATGCACGATAGGGTCTGAATTTTATGGAACAAAAAGTCCCTTTCTGTCCTTAATAACTTTGGAATTCAAGGACATGCCATTATGGGAGGACTGGTCTCATTGCGTCGGCACTAAAGAAGTAGGAGTTGTTTTCCCTCGTCTTAAGCATCTCGTTGTTCGGGATTGTCCTTTGTTGATTGGAAGATTACCTGGTCAACTAAGCTCCCTCGTGAAGCTCGAAATCAACTCATGTCCAAGTATGAATGCCTCGCCCCCTAGCATTAGCCTTCCATCTCTCAATGAATTGAACATTGGAGGTTGTAATGAGAGGGTACTGAATAGTTTGGTAAATCTAACCTCTCTAACCACTCTTATCATACAAGATGTTGCTGAGCTAACTTGCTTAAATTATGGGTTTGCAAGTTTCTTTATCAAGCTGGAGAAGTTGGAGATGAAAAGTTGTGAAAAGTTAAAATACTTGTGGCAAGACAAAGATGTAATTCAAAATCTCACTTCTCTGAAGAGCTTACTCGTCAAAAGTTGTCCCGAATTCAAACTTTTTGTGGCTCAAGAAGGAGATATAGACCTGCCCGGCAACCTCGAGACTATCGACTTGAGAAATTGCTTCAATTTAGATAAGCTTCCAAGCAAGATGCACGCCCTTGCCTCTCTTAGAGGCTTAACTATCTCTAGCTGTCCAAAACTCATGTCATTCCCCAAAAGAGGTATACCAACATCAGTAGTATCATTAACTATCAGAGACTGCGAGATGTTGCAATCTTTACCCATAGGATTAAGTATTGATCTGGATGAACCAAGCAGCACCAGCAATAACCACAGTGACATGACATCATGTCTGCAAGAATTAAGAATCTACTTATGCGATTCTCTACCGGCCTCTCCATTTAGTGATGGTAGATATTTACCTGCGACTCTCAAGACACTCAAAATTTGGAACTGTAAGGGAGTGGAGTCGCTTGCGGAGATAAATCTAGACAGTCTTCAGTCGCTTGAAGAGATTATCATTCAGAATTGCGAGGATCTGAGAAGCTTACCCCAATGCCTGCACACACTGTCCCATCTCACATTCTTGTTATTGGCCCAATGTCCTACTTTGGAGCTAGAATGCTTCCCTCCTCTTCCTCTCGGCATCTCGAGCTTTTGTCTTTATGGGTGTCCGAAGATAAAATCGTTGCCTAATCAGTTGCATCGACTTATATATCTCCGTCATTTGGAAATTTTAGATTGTGAGAGTATAACGTGTTTCCCCCATGGAGGACTGCCGCCCCAGCTACAGAGACTTGAGGTAAGGGGATGCAAGAATATGAAGCAACCGGTGAGTGAGTGGCTTACCCCACTCACCTCCCTTCAATATTTGTCGATTGACGGCAGCGCTGGAGGAGTGGGAGAGGTGGAGGATCTTCTGCTTCCGCTCCCTTCCTCTTTGATCCATCTCCGTATATGTGATATGCAGAACACGGAAAGACTGTCCAGCAGTCTCCCGCCCTCTCTCCGGACCTTAGAGATCCAACGATGTCCGAAGCTGAGGGACTTGCCCCAGGATGGCCTCCCTCCCTCCCTAGCACAACTCTTGATTGAACGATGTGGGATTCTCAAGGAGCGATGCTCAAAACTGACTGGTGCCTATTGGCACCACGTCCACGAAATCCCGGAAGTTAGATTGACGGGTTTCAAATCTGAGTCAGTTTCCTGAAAGAGATTTCTTTTATTTTGGACCAATTGTGCAGCGTGCTCTTGAATTACGGTCTAAAGAACTTGCAAGTGTTTTGAAGCAAATAAATTTGTGGTAAAATTTGCAATTTTTTTGGGCAAAAGAACACTACAAGTGCCATAACTTGTATACGGCGCTCACTTTGGTGCCATAAGTTTTTTTTGGATCACTTTAGTGCTAAAATTTTTGAAAAACGATCACTTAAGTGCCAACTCCGGTGCCGTACACAATTTTTCGACGGAAATCCGACGTGGCATTTTTTTTTATTAATTTCTGAAGCTGACGTGGCTTGCCGGAGATTGGCACTTAAGTGATCGTTTTTCAAAATTTTTAGCACTTAAATGATCGTTTTTAAAAAATTTTAGCACTTAAGTGATCATTTTTCAAAAATTTTAGCACTGAAGTGATCCAAAAAAAACTTATGACACTTAAGTGATCGTTTTTCCTCCGACTTGGCACCAAAGTGATCCGAAAAAAAGTTATGGCACCAAAGTGATCTCCGTACACAAGTTATGGCACTTATACTGTCCTTTTGCCAATTTTTTTGTGAGTGTTTGAGCGAGGATGCAATGGGATTACATTGCTTGAAGCAAGTAGGTCCATGAACCAAATCGTGAAAATCTGGTATTTGATTTATTCTCTTGTTCTGTTTATTATTGTGTTTGATCATTTGTTTTTCACGACAATATGAAATTTAAGTTGTATTGATTGGGTGATGTTCTTCAACTGCTTTGGTTATTCTTCTTGCTGTCAGTTTGAAGGATGAGAGTTTATGATTATGGAGTATAATTGGAATTTAAAACAGATCTCTCTTGAAGGGTTGTTAAATTCCCTCAGGAGGGAGGGTCCGCATATATTCTCCATATATTCAGTTTCATGATGTTTCTATGCATCGAAATGTTACATTAAAATCAGGTATGGTCTTGGCATTTGCTTCTCCTACTCTACTCTTCTACTTGTAGTCACTTCTCTCCTCAGTTTCAGTCCCGTCGGCCAAGATTCTTTCAATTTTGCTTGCCTTTCAGATTACATCTAAATTACATCGGTGAAGTTTTTCAGTACGACCCAACCTAAGGAAAGGTCTATATACCCTTTCCTTCGCCATCGCCTCACCGGTATTAAGTCTAGGAGAAGATGCTGAAGGGGGGGCCTGGATGTGAGATTGCTCCTCATTGTAGAGAATAAGGGACATGGCACTGCAGCCTTTCTTGTTAAGATCTCGACCTTTGTGGAGATTTTTCCTTTGATTAGTTGATTCTCGAATTTCTCACGTGGATAGGTAAGCATATGTTCTCTTTCCCCGTTCCATAAGTGTGTGTTTTCCCTTGATGTGCGATCCACTAGATGAATATGAATTCTGGACATAATTTATATGATAAATAATTAGCAATGACAAGTTTGAAAATATTTGAAAGTTGCATCACAGTAGTTCAGAACTTTTGCTATAGAGCAAGTTCATATCAAGTTAATGGCGGTAATGGCGATAATGGCGGTTAGGCGCTTTAAATTCCCTTTCCTGTTTTAGTCTGGAAACTCCATCTGGGCACATTTACAAAGTTGTGGAACATACCTGACTACTTTCCCTCATATCTCTTATTCTGATATGCGAACATTACTTTCGCAGCACTCACCAGAAGCGGAAGAAACTCGGTATTAACTTTCAGTCTGCATTTACCGATACAACGTACTTATTCCCACGCACATGATCTTCTTCATTTCTGAGCATATAGTGACGCTCATCAAAGTCTAAGTGGGAAACAGATTTACTGCACCCTCAACCCTTCCATTCAAGAATTTTACTGACCGTCTGACGATGAGGAATGATTTAGTCGGTTCGAGTACAGACATAAATGATGGCGTTTGGCGTCCTGGATAGCACTCAATGAAATCTTTGCCCGTTAGTTCATTTTGGTAACTATTCGTATTCTGCTTCATGGTATTAAAGAGGCATGGCCCTCGAGTCGCTGGTTGGCAAAGATCAAAGGGTGAGTAGATTTGTTTCTGCTATTCCTTTTGACTGGCTATTTGAAAGACGCAGGTTATGATCATGGGGTATAATCAGAACCTAGAAAGAATCTCTTCCGAAGGATTAGCAAATTGTCCGCATTCTACTTGTTCCGTTAAATTTCCAACGAATTGTCCGCATGAATTTCTAGCACTGTATAAGTGCGCATGTCAAGGTTCACAATTTCTAGACTGTTATATTGTTTGTTACCATTTTCCCCTGCTATCACATTGATGTGATTACGTCCACATTCATTCTCTCCTGCGTAAGGGATCAGTTCTACGCGAGGGAGAGTGTTAAGTTATACATTATATATTGTTTGGCGCATTTTCAAACAGTTTAAGCCTATAGGAAATGCACGCAGCAATTGAATCAAACAGCATGACGAATCAGCCAACCCTATGTTCTTGTTTGTTTGTTTCTTCTAGTAATTTCGGTTTGTCCGGAAGACTTTCAGACAAGGATCATTAGCCTCCCATAAAACCCAGTCCCCACCCCAGGTGGAGGACACGTGTCCTCTTGCGGGCACGATCCGACGGCCATGCGACTCCCACCTCCTCCTGCTCTGTGTATCTCCCCAACCCGCCAACCAGCCACCTCTGAGGACAGCATTGCTAGCCACTGCTAAGACGATCACCACTACAGTCGGCCGCTCGTTCAGCCAACAAAGGTCGCTGTTGCTTGTCATCCACTCCACCGCTCATCTTCGCCCTCAGATCTCTCTCTCTTTCTCTCTGCTCTCTCATCGTCGTCACCGCACCGTCCATGAACCGAGAAGCAAGGATGAGGCACCGGTATAAAAGAAAAAGGATGAAAAGAGGATGCTTGCCTCTCAACATTCGTCAAATTATGGAACTGGTATCATATGACTTTATACCCTTTCCTTTTCTCCGAGAGCTTAGAGCATCTCACATATCTGTCGGCACTTTAAGAGGGAAAGAAAAAGTAGATCTTGAAACTACCTATTTAAGTCTGACAAAAAAAAACTACCTATTTGAGGATGCACCCTAGTTTTAGTAAATCACAATATCACATTCGGTGCTACATAAAGTAAAATTGATCAGCTAATCCAGAATCAAGCGATCGGAGAGCATTATTAACTGTTATGCTCAGGAGAACATTTACTTCGAGTTCATAGGCTGCACATCAAATGAATCGTGACAATCTTTGACAATAAGCTAAGCTGGTCATTTGGAGCTGCTGATCCAAGCTTCCAGAAGCTTTTAATCCATTTAACCAGGCTTTAATCCATCTAAAGAGCTTGCAAAACTGACCTTTTTAAGTTATACGTCTTATCGATGAGTGACTCGAGACACTTGTTATGCATACTTAATATGTGTGGAATTGTTCGATTCTCAAAACTCATGCACCCATAACATGACAACAAACAATGTATCAGAAACTACAAAGTTTCTTGGAATGATTGTTTAATCAGTAGTCTGAAGGCACTCTTTAACAGAATCCTTCAATTATATATGGAGTCATAGACACGGGATAGCTGATTATGCGACTAAAACCACCATTTGGATCTGTCAAAAGAAGCACATGAATTTCATTGAGGTCAGGCAACTTTTCAAACATCATGAGCACTGTCCTACAAAATTTACATGATACGCTGACATAGAAGTGCATGGCCTGCCTCTTGAACAGACTGCAAGATTTAAGACCTTCATTGCATGGAACTAGAAAAACCAAAAAGAAGCAAAGTTCTTCTACCCCTCTTGCTTCCCTACCTCATCAAAGTTCAGAGATCAAAACAAAGTGACCATACGGCTCGTTTCGCTGTCACCCTCGCTCAATTATCGTCCGCCGCTTTCATGTAGAGGGTCTCGCCGCCATCTGCTCCACCCTGGCCACCACTGCCCATGCCGCTACCTCGTCCTTCACCCGAGCTGCTACTCCCCACATCGTGCTTGTTCCCACCCCCCATTCCTCTCCCGCCAACCTGTAAGCCCTCAGGGAAGCCTCCGCCTCCGAGGGCCCCACTACCTCCCGAGTGGCTGCTCTCACTTTGCAAAATGTTCAGCCCTGAGCTAGCACCAGAGCTCATGCTTAGCTGCCCGTGCAACGAGGGATAGGGTTGTTGCTGGGTATACAGCATGGAAGATCGAGCGGCCATGAGCGACTGTGGGGTCATCGGCTGAGCTTGCTGGTGCTGCACATAGTATGATCCAGGCTGTGCAATGGTACTAGAGGGATACTGCATGGTAGGAACAGAGGGTCAGTGATTGTAAAATTGGGAGGAACAGATGCAGAATTAGAACAGTGACACTCCGGGACAGAGAAGTGAGAACAATCTTGATGACACGGCTGTCAAACCGGGGCCAAGAGGAGGCAATTGACAAATCCGGTACATCTTGGAATTTGTGGCCAGAGGACAATGAGGGTTTGAGGTTATAGTGAAGAAAAAAATAAGGATCTTGCAAGAATTGGAAGAGTGTCAATTGTAGCTTATGCTTTCACAAGACAGGAAAGAGAACAGATAGACTCAGAGCATAACTGGCTACTTAGGATGTTACCCAAAGTAATGCCACTCTGGACCACAATATCACGAAAAAAGAACATTGAATGCACAATAATTTATCTGGACCAGAATATCACCAAAAAGAATACATTCAATGCACATGAATTCACTGCACACGCATGCTTGAGAGGATCTCTCAAGATGATAATATTTAGTGAAAATGGTTTTAAAATCTAACAGTCCAGATTACCTTAAATTCCACCAAAATTGCAATTGAAATCTCTCTCTCCCCATGGCATGAGAAAGAAGCAACAAGCCCATATGCAACATGGATACCGCAGTAAGGAAACAAAGATGACAAACTTATAGTTTCTAGGAAACCAAAGCACCCACCGAAACATCTAGTTTTCTCAGTCCTGAGGCTCATCTGCAAAATCCTTAAAGAAGCATTGACTACATACTGAATTCTCATGAAGGAGAAGGTACTAACCTGAGAATGCAAACTTGGTGGCTGAGGTTGAGAATCAGCAATGGCAGCGAGGTACATGAGGTTTCTCTGGAGCTTAGCCTGGTTTCTGCAAAATGCAACCAAAATGGCTAAATTATCGTTGGCCAAAGTTCCGCGACTTATGGAGAAACCCAGAAGAAAAAATTTTGATTGCATGCATCCCATAGCCAAGTGAGCTTACTTCTACCATTAACGACTCAGATATTGAGCATAACTAAAGTGTGAAAAAACACAATTCCCCTCTTGCATATCAACAAACAAGAATATAGGGGGCCCAGTCTTCACGGATGAGTACCAATGCACCAACGTCTTGAGGAAGTTCTTGATAATCGTGAGAGGCTTTGAAAGTTAAAATAAGCAAATAAATATCTTTCCAAAAGAACCCGCCGTCGAGAGTAAATGTGTGAAAATGCAAGCTCATCATGAAGAAGAAATGGTAACTATAGTTCGTATTGGGAAAACTTGTCCTACTAATTGGTCCGGAACGCGACTACATCACAATTTTACATGATAATTGTAATAAAACTCGGTAGCTACAGAACTTGAGGAAGACATGAGAAGTCGCGAGAAGCTATTTAGAGAATAGCAGCGTCTCTTATTCTCCCGACAAAGACTTCCAAAATGTTCAGATTCACGTGCAAAAGACTAAAAACGTGTTCAGATACCCCGAGCTGGAATACACGCGGCTGGCAGAATGCAAAATTATAGTGTCAAAGATAAGCAAAACCGTTAGGAAACTTAAAAGGAGATCAAGTTATTAAGTCTCACTCTGCACATTCGCTCAGCTTCCCACAGTTTTGGCTCTCAACGATCTTCAAAATCAGCGACTTGTTCTCGTCCAAATACTGCACATTTCCAAATATTGCAAAGATAAGAACCAAAAATGTAGTAGAGCAAACCCAACGGACAAATAAAAACCAATTTATGTAACGGAAACTTCCATGCTGATAAAATGAAGGAAAAGGGAGACTGCCGGGAAATCAAGGAAGTTCCACCGGTAAAAATTAACATGTATTTGTTTCATAGTCAGATAGACTTCCAAAATCTTCCAACTAATATCAGCTGCTCTTATTGAGAAAAGACGGATCAGAATCTATTATTACTGACTTGTGGAAAGAGAACTTACATTTGCAAGGCACAACATATGTCGATATTAAATGTATTTGGGAAGAATAGTAATATGTCCGTGCTGACCTAACCATCTATGACGTCCCAGTAGAACATGCTCACTATTTCTTGTGCTTTCATTGCTTTGGACATCATGCATATTTGAGATGGGCTGATGCTCAATTCTATCATATATGACTGAGCCATCTCAGAGTTTCAGGAGTCGTGTGTCCATTTTGGCCAGCACTTGTCCAAAGCAAAATAAACTTAGATTCCAGAGAAACCCCAACAATTGCCTTGTCTGAACTACGGAGCATCTAATTTATTTGTACCAACACACTTTCCCTCCTTTTTAAAAAGCTGCTGCCAAAATTACAAATGAACCAGCCGAAGAACTAGGTGCTTTTTTGTTATTCAAGAACAAGGAAAGTAGACTTTCATAAACAAATCTTGTGGTCCCAGAGATGTCAATGCCATGTAATCAGTCAATCACCAAAGAAGAAAGGTCCTAAGTTGATGCAAAGAACCATGTGGTTGAAATAGACACTAACAAAATAGAGCAAGTCGTGCAAATGAACCATGTGAAGCATAGGTACCAAAACGAAAAACCAAGATCAGCTTCTAGCTCTATAGACACATATTTTAATGGTTCATCAATCATCACCAACACGAGACAGCCAAAATTTACATCACACGCAAGCAGATGCATAAATATCAGTAACCCAGCCGACAATATATATAAAACTGATTATTGCTCACATCAAAATCCCAGACAAAAACATACTCTTTAAGCAAGTATAAAAATTAATCACACTACAACTTTCGACCTTATCAACCCATCATCTAAACAACCCAAACAAACAAAAAAAAAGTTCTTTTTGCCTTTTTTTATAGCCGGAGAGAGAACTTGAGTAATGTCTGAGGGACCAAAACACAAACATGATGTCCAGATAAACGATGAGACATACCAAACCAAAAGTAACCTCGGTACTCACTACTCAGCTAGCTTAAAAAATACAAAAAGATCGGAAGAGCTCAGATTACCCACCAATCAGACGCACCAACAGGAAATACCCAATATTGCAACACGCCTCTAGGACAAAAAAATCGAAAGAAGTACCACAACGAAAATGACAAGCTGACCCTAGAAAAAACGAAAAAGAGCAAAAGGGTACGAGCAAAAACAGGAGATTTCGCGGGGAAACCGAAGAAGAGAAGCGAACAAAGAAAGGGGAGAAACGACTAGGGAAGAAAAAGAACACACAGAGAGGGAGGACCTGTTGAATGTGATCGGTGGTGACGTTGTTAGGATAATAAGCGGCGGCCATCATGGGCTGCATCTGCATCAGGTGCTGCTGCATTTCTTTAAAAACAAACGACCCTGTCTCAAGACTCCCCCCCCTTTATATATCCCTTCAGAACACACCCCCGGCCACACACACACACACACACACCCTCTTTCTGTCTCTCTCTTTCTAACTCTCAAGAAACAGTGCAGAGGAAAAAACCGAAGCAGAAAGGGAGATGCCCCTGATCTCTATCTCTGTCTCTCTTCTCTCTGTCTCTCTCGACCCCCCCCCCCCCCCCCTGTTCAGAAAGAAGCAGTGACCGCACCGCTCATGCACAGACACTAGACACAAGCAGAGACAGCAGGCGCAGAGAGAGAGAGAGGGTAGAGAAGGGAAGGGAGCTAAAGAGTGATGGAGAAGAGGCTTTGGGCTTTGGGGGGTGGGGGGGTTCTTGTTCTTGCTCGTTTTTTGTTCTTTAGCTCGCAGTTCCGCTCGGCTTTCTCTCTCTAGAATGGGAGAAGAGGAGGCGGGTCACGTGATGCGGGAGAGAGAGAGAGAGAGAGAGAGAGAGAGAGAGATTGGGTGGAAAACGAGAAGAAATTGGTGGAGGAGGAGGAGAGCATCTTTGAACCCCGAGCATTACTGCACAGCATCATGATAATATTATAAAAGAACTTATGTCCGATGGACGAAATTTTTTTTGTCCAACCGGATCCAATCCCTCGACATTATTTTTTTTTCGTGTGATCCACGTGTAAAGCCCGGGTTAAAAAACCACCCCCCCCAACAAGATCGACGGAGGTGATGAATACCGAGTCCCGGGAGATTATTGACACATCGGGCTCCTATGATCTGGATTTGAATCTTTTGTATCGGTACGGTTTGTCGGTATGGTGATCTTAGACGTCGGTGGTGGCTGAATCGCGTGCATTGATCGGGAAGGACCGACACGATTAATGAAATTAATCGGATGCACGATTAGCGGAGATAATTGGAAATTCTATTGGATCGGACGTCCCGTTATTGGTAAGACGGGGAAAAAAAAGAAGAAGAAAAAGGAAATTACTATCGAAATGGTAGTTGCGGTTAGATGAAGTCTTTGCTCGGGATTGATTTCTCATCGAGCGGTTAGATGTTTGAGTCGTGCTAGTCCCGGAAAATGAACTTTCTGTGTCGACTCCCGAAGCAGGGGCATCGTATTCGATTGGCTCTTTACCGTGATCATGGTGACGGACTCACCCATTCTAAGAAGATCTTTTGTGGAGATGATGTAACCCTGTACTCGGCAAATCTGCACGTCGAACATACTATGAATCGGAGTGTAAGGACCCTCGCTAGCCATTCCATCATGTCCCGCTGATATCGCCTCAAGTTCTGCAGACGTTCCAGGTACTTCCTATGAGTCTCCACGGAGAAAATAAAAAGTCTTCGGAACTTCATGAAGATGTAAGCCTAGAGATCGCGGAAATTGAACGGTAACACTCGATGGAGGAAAACTCGATGGTCCCCTCTAATCCATTTGTTTCAGCGAAGTTTAATTTGATTATCTTTTGCTGTTAGAACATTGTGAGTTGCCACAAATACTTTATGAACTTTGGCCCAATGTACGAAATGGTCCATGAACTTTTAATTTATTAAATGTGATATCTCAACTTTAACTCAATGTGCAATGTGGTGTATGGACTACATTGAACATCTTTTTTGGTGTTTTGTAACAATAAATCGTAAAATGGCATTTCTTGATTATAAACACGGACATACGATTTCATTTTAAATTTTGTTGTTTTCTTATATTTACAAAGATTTGCTCACGGAGAACAAAATATTTTTTTCTGATGTAATTTGTGTCCAAAATAGGTTAGAAATTGTTTTCTACATATGTTAATTTGACAAAACTGTCATTCAATGGAAATTTTTTTTTTTATCACTTATCAGGGAAAGCACTACCTTAAAAATAAATCCAAACCTAAAAAAGAAGGGAACTTTTTATTGCAGGTTAAAATGACCCTTTTTGTGTTTTTAAATTAATTTCGCACATTAATTTAGTAAAGTGAATGATTATTAGTGATAATGAGGAACGCTATGCAATCTTCTGCGACTTGAAGATAACGTTTCTTTCTAAATGGTAGAATGGTCCTCAGGCGCTATGCGTGGGAAGAAAGTATTAAACCAACAACAGTATAGATCTAGCTTTATCCCGATAAGTGAAGTCGGGCTATATGGATCGTATTACGCCGCTAAAAACTTGATAATCTCGAAATGATCTGTCCTTGCTGTCTCTTTCCATAACCTTCTAGGTCTTCTCTCGTCATGCTTTTTGCCTATGTTTTCCATCGCTTTTCGGTCGCTTACTCGAATCTCTTCATCGGAGCGTCCGAAGGTCTTCGTCTTAACATGGTCAAACCGCCCAAGCGACCTTCTCTCATCTTATCCTCGATCGAAGCAAACTTCGACCTCTTACCGAACAGATTAATTTCTAGTTTTATCATCTTCTCTCAAAGCCTGCATATCGAATGGGGCATTCTCTTCTTACCCACACTCATTTTATGAACATACCGATGTTTAACCATTCGGCCACGGAGCATCACCTGACCTTATGGTCATCCTATCGAACATTCCCTTAAAAGCTTAAGCGGCATCCTGTGGTCGCACAAACCACTAGACGCACCTCCCCGCCAGCTGATCCATCCAGTGTATACAATATGCGATCTTTATCGATTTCCCCTATCTGTTTTGCAAAATATAGATCCAAAGATACCGGAAGCATTCACTCCTTGCAAACCCTTTTTTCGCGAGGCAAACGGACCTCGAGAGCGAATCTCAACAAAGTTGTCCACGAAAACTCAAGCAGAAGCCTTTCCTTTTGCTTTTCCCGTGGAACGCTGGAAAACGCAGAGAAATTCAGGGGCTCATCAATCCTCACAGAGCCTATGAGATTCTTCTAATGAACAAGAGCTTCATTAGGTACTTACAAGCCTAAAAAGAAGGCCTATTTAATCATGAATAGCTCGTTTCTTTTTACCGAGATATAGATACTCATTACTAAATGTACCGCAAAATGACGTGGATCTTAGGAGAAATATTTCCCCAGTGGCGCCCACATTGAACAAGTTTATTGTACACGAAGGTCACGCGATATTTTATGCCGAGGTCGTCACCGACGACACTCGATTGAGTTATTTCGAAAAGTTTCTTCGCTTAAATGAGCGGTCGAAAACTCGCGATACCAAAATCTACTCTATACAAGAGATTTAGGACTTCTCCTGTTAAGTAGAACAAGAAAGAAGCGGCAACGACAAAGATGATTGAATGAGACGATAAAACAAAAAGTAGTGCTCTTGTACCCTTTAGCTCGGCTCGAGTATGAGTTCGACCAATGTGTTGTGTTCAATCGATTGAATTCGCTTCGATAGATAGAGGAGGACGTGGAAAGAGCACCGCCCTAAAGCGAAAAGGTCCCCCGTGAGTGAATTTCACCACCTTCAATGAAAACCTTATCTTGTGTCTTGGGTGTGTGTGAGAAGAGACGACAACGTGAGGGAAATGGGTCGAATTGAGGGGTGGGGGGTGGGGGCAGCGAGGGATTGTATTGGACCACAGAATCATCCAAAGGACCATGTTGCGTTCCACCCAACAATGACAACGACCGAACCTGCGCATTTCACCATATTTGATAGCTGTGGACAACCCCAATTCGTGTCTCAAAAAGTGGGAAACAACAGGTTGAGTGTCTTGTTTCCCCCCCACAAGGAAAAGAAACAAAAACCCTTTTCCTAAAGTTGCATACGATTCAATTCTTTAGTCTTGGATCGGGCGGGGAGATTTAGTTCCAGGTGTGGGGTTCGACTCCTACGCTCTGCAGAGAGGAAGAATAGTAGTCTGAGAAAGAGAGAGGAGAGTTAGAGGGAGACGGACAAAAAAGAAAAATTATTTAGTCTCGAGTTTAATATGTAATGTCTCATTAGAGTTCTCGATGTTGGGGTAACCTTGCGACGTGCGAGGTCGACCTGTTGAACATAGGTTTGGACACCAAACTAAACTAGATCGAGTTCACATGGACCGAGGAAAAGCGAAATTAGACCAAATGTAATGATGATTTTGGGTTGGTTCATTTCAAAATTTTAACCCCAGCTTTTGTCTTCTCTTTAGTCTTTTTTTTTTTCCTAACTTTTTCATCTAAATTTACCTCAAATTCACTAAACGGAAACACATTTTGTAGTGAAAAGAAAACTACATTAATAAAGGGGGGAAGCGTGTACGAAAAGACTGCTTGAGAATCATAGAAAGGAGGGAGAAACGTGATAGCAAGAAAGGGAAGGGAATGAGGGGAAAAAGTTACAATTATAGTATAATTAGTAATAAGATGACAGTTAATCGAAGAAAAAAGAAAAAATTAATTTAGAAGGAATCTCGGTATGGATCTGGTTCTGCATCATTCTCCCCTACCGAGAAGAACTCGGCTCCGGCGAGTTGCGCAAATGCTCTTTCCGGCGAGTCGAGTAATAAATCCGTTTCACATGTATCTTGATTTTTCATGTTTCAGAGCATAAATGGCCGTTCATAAAGCTTTAGTACTACACGATACACAGTACAATGAATGATTTTGGCACTTTTGGCATAATTTTTTCGTAAGAGTAAATCAAACATAGGCTCTATTACTTCAATCATATCTTTTAACAATATGGCATGCATATCATGCAAACAATGATCAATTTCTTGCCCGAACATAGTCACGGTTATTTAGGGTGCGTTTCTTTCACTGAAAATTTCGTGATAGAAAAAAATATATATTTTTCATGGAAATCATTTTCAAGAAAAATTATTTTTTCTCATTTGTTTAATGGTTTAGGGAAAGTGATTTCTTTATTATCAGAAGGGGAACTTGTTTTCCCCCAATCTAAACTTGTTATTTTCGGTCCATGGAAAATGTTTTTCGTAAATCAATTAGTTTTTCGTCATCTAAATATCGGAAAGTTAGAAAGTAATTTCCCAGAAATAGTATTTCTTCAAACAAATGAACCCTTAGTTAGACCTATATAATCATTAGATTCCTTGGGATTAGAACTTACATGTTCATCACTATCGGTTTCTATTTTTTAATCGTTGTCGCAATCGACGGTCTCATTTTCACAATTATTTGCATTGTGGAAATGAATGGACCATAGTCCGCATTTTCTTTCTAGGGATATATTTGACGTAAAATACCGAAACTTCTTTTATTCGCATGTCACTTCCTCGTCGTCAAAAGGTATCAGACACTCTTTCTATCTCGTTTCCATATTGATCTTCTGCATCGGATTAACCATCGCCGTTGATGGTAAGATCGCTTATCACCACAAACCTTTATGTAAATCGACTATCTTTACTAATACCACAATGAATTATGTTAACGAGCATTTCTGGGGCGCTCGTCAACCATACTTAATAATACGAAAAACGCCTTGATTCCAGATACATCGGTCACGCATAGCACGAGAAAAACGACACGTCGAAAACCCCGGAGCCTGCTTTACAGCCTGCTCCAACAAGTGCTTTTGCACAGTGTCTGATGGAATCATGGCAAGAATCATTGAGGGAGGAGGACGCTGAC